CTCCAAATAAAATTTAACTAATAACTTACCATCAATATGCTACACGCGTTATTCGACCCAATTAAATAAAATTTTAAGATGATAACTTTCGATAACTTGGGCCTTGCATATCCGAATTAACTTTTCTCAAGTCTAATATACATGATTAAATATGGGCTATCCGATAAGCCCAATAATGGTATACTTATCATTACTCTATCAATATTTAAATATTTGGCCCAATAGAATATAATTCAAAATATCTATATACACTTTAGTCCTTCAACTTTCAAAATATAAAAGGTAGTAGATAGAATAAATAATTTTATTTTGTAAAATTTTCGGAGTGTTACAGCAAACAAGTAAATTGTGATTTGGAAAAAGAAGTCAAAGATCGTACTTTGAAGATGGAACGAAGAGAGGGCTGATCGCGCGCGCCCACAAAGAAGGGTAAGAAAAGTTCTAGAAATCATGCACACATAAAAGTTCAGCGAACCAGTACAACTGTAAAATATTGAACATGTAATGCAGATACTTCCACCATTGAACAACTGAATATCCATGGCGCCAGAGGCAAAATTTTGATGCCTAAGCAATTGAAGATCCAGAATTTGGAGGTGGCACCAAGCATTATCAGGCACTTTGCAATTTAAACACCCATAAGACAAATTTAACTAGATGATCTGCAGTTTTCTACATTTTCTTAGGCAAAAATGTGCAAGGAATCCATCCAGTAAAACGAGAGAGGCAGCGAATTTGCTTCAAAAAGTTTCTGGGTGTTCCAATAGAATAGTCTTTCCCAGTTGGCTCTTAATAAACCTACAAGGATATCCTCCTAGTTCATCTCTCCATAAGGTCATATGTCCTTTTAGTCCACACAATCATGTTACTCATCTCAGAGTGCAAACTTTGGAGATTCCCCTTTACATTGTCCATGTGAATGAAAAATTCCAACCATGCTTTTTGGCTCACTTACACAAGTATACTTGTTTGGAATAGTCTCCATATCCCTCTTCTTCAACCTTGTATGCGCTACTTCTAACCATAGAGATGGTAATGTATGTCCCTCAGACCACATACATGTAACTTGACACAGCTACAGGATCGATGAACGATATTGCCTTCTATAAACCCTCTATGGAGTATCTGAGAGTGCATCACAGGGCCCCTCTTCTGAAAACAGGGATTGCATCACTCTGACCTAAACTCTCCTTGGCAATTTAGATCATTTAATGCACATGTATAATAATCTGATCGATAATCCAAAATCAATTCTACATCCATTAGAACTACTTGACAGGATTAGAGAATATGAATTGTGATTATCCCTACTAATCAAGAAATGAATAGTGCAGATCGTGCAAATTACAAGAGGAGGCAACATTACCAGTGGTCCAGAAACTTCATCAGCTTTTTCCTTCCCGTAGAGTAGTTCGACCAGGCTTACAGAATACTCCATAGCTGTTCCCGGTCCTCGACTGGTCACGACTTTTCCATCCTTCTGGACTTTCGATTCGACAGAAGTAGCAGAAGATGATAGCTGCTCCACAAATGATGGGTAACAAGTTGCCTGTCGAGGATAATTGCCATTTCAGTCATTTGAGGAAGATCATCAACTATACAAGCTTCGTATAAGCAAATACTAGGAAATAAACAAATAGTGTAGCTATTCTTGCTTACTTTCAACCCCTTCAAGAGCCCCCACGCTCCAAGCGCAACTGCAGGCGCTGCACATATTGCAGCATATGGGCGGCCATCAGCAGCCTGCTTCT